ATTCAGCATCTAACATTTATTTATGAGAGATAATACTGTGGATTAGTGATTGACTTATCACTTTCAACGGAATAAAATTGTTAAGAGTAAGTTTTTCCCCTCAAAATGTTTCATAAGCACTCTAATTTGCTTATTGAATTTATCTTGAGGCTTAGTTTTATTTTTTCCATAGTTTAGCATTACTATTATGGCTCTTAAATTTGATATATAATTCTGTTCGTACTAACCACTTATGTCTTATTCTAATATTTGCATATCAATAGTATGTGATGGATAATTGATATCAGTAATGTACATAATTACAGTACTTCTCAGATTATTCAAATTTTGCTAATCTTACTGATGTTGATCTTTTTTCAAGTTAATATCTGTAAAGAGTTACTATTACTCATCAAAATTATACAGGTTAAAAAATTTTTTACGGAGCGCAAGTTAAAAATTATCATAAATTTTTAAAAACTATCGTGCATTAATTGAGAAGCAAATAAGGTTTTTGTACTTTATGAACAAGTTTATTTTAGATTCAGAAAATTTATATTGCGGAGTTCGATGTAAAAACTGACATTTATTTATATTAATTGTAAATATCAGATTTGCTTATCATTAAGTATGTTTGAAAATGTTCATCACATATTTTCTTGATATATTGTATTATCCAAAAGAAATTTATCACAATTAATTCTTTGATTTTTTAATAAATAAATCATTCAATACAAACATTATTTGCTGTAGTGAAAGAGGAATCAATGAAATAGATGATTGAAAATAATTTAAGCAAATTTCGCTGCAAGATTTAAATTCTGATTTAGAAAGCTTTGAATATAGGATTGTTTTTTTGTTAAAATTTTCAATAATTACAAAGTTTAACACTCATTAAATACTCTACAATTATATACTGACGATTTTTTTAATGCATCAAAAACAAATTCAATCTATAGCTGAGAAGCAAAAACGATACATCTTTTGAAGTGTCGCATCTTAAATTTTGCAACGCTTGCTATGGTATTATTTTTAGAATATAAATATTTTCTCGATCTCGTGCTTGGCAAGCTTTGCATTTATGTTTTTTCTTTATTTGGCTTCTGACTCCATTATCAATTTCATTTTTATTCATGCGTCAAATGTACGTATATGTGTAAGTTTGTATATATGCATACGAGTGTGAGTGTATATTGTGTATGCATACATGAGCGTGTATTTGTATGTGCACGTGTCTATTCAAATACGTATTATATGCACGTGTATGTATGTACGCATGAAACATCACTATTCTTGTACAAATAAATTTTTATTATTTAATAGTCTGGTTTTGCAACGTCAAGTTTCTTTTAGCATTACATCGAAGTATTCGGTCACAATCATTCTTATTGAAGTTCATTCTCCTCAAGCTTATATTAACTATAAATTTTGATTAAAATAAACAAGCGGCAGGTGAATATGCTATACAGAATCCCTTCAAATCAATGACTGATATTATAAGGCAGTTGCAGTTAGTACAATAATGTTATGAAAACATGACAAAGCAAGAGAAGGAGTCATTTAGGTGGAAGGCAAACATAAAAAAGAAGATAAGTCTGAATGACTTCTACAAAACTTCATAGAGCGGTATTTGGCTGGTCAGACCTTTGAAGGTAACAATCTGAGGGAAGCCAAGAAGTGTATGAGGAGCATGAATCTCATACTTGCTCTCGAATGTGACTGTCATGAGGCCCCAATCATGCGGACAGAGCGTTTGAGAGTTGGAAAGTAAAATAAAAACATAAGTCTCCATGTGCATCCAAAACCCAAAATGACAGATTTGAACTGTTTAGAAGGCGATTGTGTAGAAAACTAACCGAGGAACAGTCTTTTAGCCTTAATCTAGAGACAGAATAAATCAGGGATTTTCGTAGTACGATCTGGAACTCGGGGATGGCAAAGGATGAAAACATCGGGCATAGTAAATACCGAAGTGCAAGATATTCTTCCCTCTGAAGCCTAATTTTGGAAGATAGTTTCCTATTTGCCCAATTGGAAGGCGACAAGGCATGATGAATTTTATCACTTCTGATATTAAGAAGTGCCCCTCCTCAGATCCATATCTATATAAAACGAAAAAACTGATTTGTTTGTATAGGGAGAAACAGAACCCATGATTACACTAAGGCAGGACGTATCTGATTCCTAAAGATGTTTCGAACAAAGGTAGTGACATCAGACCAATAACCTGCATGTTAAACCTCCGCTAGGTGACAACGAAATGTGTAGCACAAGTCATCATACTATTTGATATTGCGACAAGAAGACTACCTGCAGAGAACCAATTAGGAATAGCTGGACAGATTCAAGGTGCAAAAAGGCAGGTACTCTTAAATTTCGCGGTATCAAGAGAGCATGGAAATCAGCTGTACACTACGTAGTATGATTTTAAAAATGCTTCGATTCAGCTAGACACAGTTACCAAATTATCTGCATTTGAAGGCTCAACACGCCAATGTAGATCGGCAGGTTTCTGAGAAGCATCATCTCCACATGGTCGATTACACTGAAAAACAATGGAAAAACCATAGTGGCAGAAAAAATACAGCGGGGAATCCTCCAAAATAGCAGCCTTTCTCTGCTGCTTTTCGCTTCATACATGGTCTCATTAAGTCGTAGACTCACCACCATTTACTATTTGTGGATGATCTCAAGCTCCTTGCTGCGGAAGAGGATATCATGAAAGCTATGGCCGACAAAGTCCAGAAGTTTATTGGAATATTATGCCACAGGATGAAGCGTGATACTGTCATCTCCAAAACAGAACTATGTTTGGAGCTGAGAAAGGTATATACCAACAATGTAGGTAAGACGGTGGACCATTTAGCAACGCAGTGCGAGAAAATGTTAAATTACGACTATCCCAGAAGTTTTGCAATCTATTCAATCAGAACTTTGCAAAAAGTATGGTCTTAAAGCATTCCCACGCATGCGGAGCCACTCCGTTCAGGAAATTATCGCTAATAGGAACGTGGAAATCAGAGTCAACGAGTAAGAGCTGCAATTAGACTAAGAGCGGATCAGCCGAAAATCACGGTATACAATAAGAAGCGACACGCATTACCCCTGATAAAAATTGGCATCATTGATCAGAACATGTTGTAGCAGTCGAGACCGAGAAGAAGCGGAAGTAACTCGGGAAAATATTTCCGTATGTGATGACCTTGGATGAGGTAGTGACAAACCTTCATAAGCGTTACACGAAGGAAATCAGTATATCTAATCACGTCGAGGCATATATCCAGTCGATATTGCTCAAGAACACGCTCGATAGCATCTCATTCGATCACACCCTGGATTCGAGGACGGAGCAGTGGAGATCAGCACTGATTTCCTTCGTGTAACGCTTATGAAGCGTAGGGCGAGTGCAACGAGAATGCCAGAATATGACCTGCGCCGGAATCAGTAATAAAGAAAAGAAGAATAATCTCCCTGTGATATTGATCAATTTAATTAATTTACTTATTTAATTATTCACTCATCTCATTTTGTTGAATATCTATCAATCAGTCAATCAATCAGTGAGTCGACCTCTATCTATACGTCTATCTATCTGTCTATCCATTCTTGGC